AGTAAGTGGAAGATGGCAAACTGCAAATTTCTGATGCTTCAAAATTAGCTTGAAAATTCTGTGATTACGAGCGAAGTTGTTAGATGGGCCCAGTATTTTGGGGAGGGGAATCCTCCCTGGCATCCAAGTGCCTGTAAGCACAAAATTTAATTACCCTATTATTATTATGCCTGCTCATCAGCTATTGGCTGCAGAGCCAGCCTTTCAAGTGATACAGAACTAAGTCAAGTACTTTGTCCCCTCAGAGATCTGGTCAATAAATAAGGTGCAAGGTCATTCTTATTACCCATTTTTTCTACTAGCAATTAAGTAAGGGCTTTCAAGCTCAGGCCTCTTCCTCTTTTCTGGTCCTTACTGAGGTGTCTATAACAGAGACAGGCAGGGAGCGTTCCAGCTTCACTGGTCACTGATCTGTATTATAGGAATCAGCAGGCAGGCCAGAGGTCAACCACACCAACCCAACAAGAAAACGCCTATTCCGTACACGCATCAGCTGCCTGGAGTCAGTCATCCTGCTCAAAGGGATACGATGGAAAAGGTCAAGTCTAAAAACTGCCAATTTCAGTGGATGATAAAGTCAAAATGTGAAGAGATCCTCTCATGCTGAAAATCTAGCTCAATCTAAATAAAAATGGCACTATTGCACATATTCTATATGGAATGTGGATTACAGGCTGTAGAAATTGGATCAGTCCATACTTCTCTGGCTATTTAAGTTTTTTAATACTTTTACATGGACTTCAAATGACTGGACACAACTGACTTAAGCATTTTGCATTTCACATTCTCCTGAAAGAAACTCAAAGCACTGATGTAAGGATTGGCTTGCAAAGATACCACATCTCTAGAATAGCTTTGATTCCAAAAACTGCAGTGTTAGATAACACCAAGAACAACCAGTCTTCTTCATCTCCCCATTGTGAGTACCCTTGTTGCCTGGGGTTCTTCCTCAGGAAGAACTTGAAGTAAATGTGAGGATGCCTTAAATGCCTCTGTCAAGATGGTACCTCTGGTGTTTTGAATGACTGCCAGCTTTAGGACAGCATATGTATTAGTCTGTGGATTTTCTGCAACAGTAATTTGAAAGTTGTCTCTTTCCTTTGATTGCATATGTCTAAAAACTGAAATTAGTTTGGAAGTATTACAGAAATTTTCATGCAGCGTTACTGAAATTGTGGTAGGGTAAGAGCCCAAGGTTTCAGACCAAATGACAAAGATTTAATTTATCTTTTTTACGTACTGCATAGGTTGATGATGGAATTACCCAGTGTCACTTTCTCATCATTAAGTGGTTGGAGTAACTGTTGTTGTGATTTGGAAAAAGTGTTGTTTGCCTAAGGCAAGTTGCTGTGGGTGAAGATGAAGTGGATGAGATCAGCTGCATGCACTGGCTGCAAACAGAAGTGATGGTCCTGTTCTTAGAGATATTCAGAACAGGATTTGGCCCATGATGATGTGGGAGAAAAGAGCAGAGGAACAAAATACAAGCTGCAATTAGGACTTACACGCCCCCACAATACGCTCGCACTCTAAATACTGTGCAATTTTGATTATGCCATCTCAGGCTGTAATACAAAACAGACCATTGAACACTGCAAGCATAAGGAAGGTGAACATAACCATGGAACCAAAAAACATAGCAGGAGCTGACAAACCATGAGTAGTGCACAGACAGCAAAGAAGAATTATCAGGAAAGCAGGTTTAAAACAAAAAATGGCTCCCCCCCGCCTCCCTGTGCTCCCTCCCTCCCCCCTTTTTTAAAAAACCCACCCTTTTCTTTGTATAACTGCATTATTGAACTTGCTGTCTAGTGACATTTTAAAGGCCAGAAGTACAGACAAATCAGGACTAAGACGAATTTATGGAGAATAGGGTCTACTCTGGACTAAATCAGATTGCTGGATGCTAAGTCACCCTAAATCAAAAACACTTTGTATAAGCCTTTTGTTCATATCTTTTCCTATCCTCTACAACTGTTTATAATCAAAGAGAAGATTACAGATAAGACGGGCTTGTGATTTGACTTGTAATGGCACCTTACATTTTAAAGTAACATAAAATTAGTAAAATAAATCAGAGTAAAGTTCAAACATTAGCTCCAAGTTGGATTAGTCAGTTTTCACTCATCTGCTACTTCTAGGTGACTTGCTGAGGCAAATACGAAGCAAAGTTGAAACCTACAGTATATTAAGACTGTTTCAAAATTGCTAATTTTGTAATGGCAGAACACCGAGTTAAATGGAATATTACACTCTTGAACTGCCAGTGCAACTGGACTTTTATTTTGATAATGATTAACATAACAAACAAGAATTTCTTCTCAGTTTGATTAAACAGCAAAGCATTTGATACTCCAAGACCGAAGTGAATAGCCTTTAAACTGAATATATGCAACACTGGCATTTAAAAGGAACTAAATACATATTGGGTTTATTTCCAAGAACCTCACAGCAACTTTTAACATACCAACACATGAAAACTCTTTACGAAACAATGTATTAGCTTGATTTATATTACCAAATCTTGATTTTCTTATATTCTTCATTCCCATCATTTATGAAAACTTGTGGTTTTGTTTCAAAATACAGAAGGTTATCAGCAACAAAAAGTCACCCGCATTTTCTTGTATAGATGGATACCACAGGGATGTCAGGAGGGACAGCACTGAAGGAAAAAAAAAAAAAAAGTTCAAAAGGGTATGAAAACCCTTAGTTCCATTTGGATATTGCTAAATGTTTTTTTACTGACGGACACTGAACATCCACAGGCCAAATCTTGAGGTAGTGGCATGCAGAAGTGTGAAGAAGAGCCTGAGGAAGAGTATTGCCTGGGTGGCTAACCAAAAGCTTTTGTATCTCAGAGGGCTATTTTGGAAAACTAGACCAATCTCTGAGCTTTGTATTTGTTTATTATTAAACCACAAAGAAATAACAGACAGATTACAATTCTCTGGCTAATGCACAAAAATACATATGAATATTGCCAATAAAAAAATATATCACTGACTCGTCCCTGCAGATGACAAGTACAAAGCCAATAAACATCACAATTCTGAAGTATATGTTACTGGATGCCCTACAGAAGATAAGTACTGCATGCAGTAAATGTGGGGTTTTTGGTTGGTTGGTTATGTTTTTTTTAAACACATCTATGTGAAGTTTGAAATGTCCTTACCGAACATATCAGAAAAAAATATATACATTTCTATGCCAGGCTTTCATATCTTTTCCTATATTGCCTCTCCTTCAGATCTCAATTATTTGTTGTGTTGGACCAATGAACCTCTACAAAATGCACAAACTCATACTGGTGATACAAAGTATCATATATATGTGTATATTATATCTAGTATACAAACTTAAAGTTGCATTCAAAATGTGTAACTTAATATTTAAAACTACAATAGCATCATTTTTTTTCTCTGTCTGATTACCACTCTTAGCTTTTCTTCATGTTCATCTGTCTTAACTCTCCAGTTCTCAAGAGACAGAGTTCCTGTTAAGCTCAGGCCTGCATAAACTGTGAAGTACAGAAATAAATCCCTTAAGTATAAAATGAGGCTTCTGACATTCCTAAATATTCAGTATTTCTGCAGGGTCTTTCCAAGATCTGGTATTTAACTGCTTAACCTGACGTAAGAGGAGCTGTCCAAAACAAGCCTAGTTCTGACTAGCAACAACCAAGACCACAGACTGCAAACCAAAAGGCCGTCAGCATTTTTTAGTAAAAATTCAGAAGTCTATTTGATTAAAAAAAACACCTCCTCCTCTTTATTGCACATGCATCTGAAGAGTCTCCTCTCTCTGCAAAGACAGAAAAAATGTAATGCTCTAAGGACAGCCTGTTACACATACTATTTCCAAGGTATTCCTCCTCTCACATGTGACTGCAGCCTGGGAGATAACAAGTTTTGAAAAGCCTGTATGCTAAAAACAACATTCCTAAACAGAGAAAAAAAGTCTGCTCTTCATTCAATGTTTCGATATTATACTGTATACTAAAAATAACTTATTTACAAATGCTTAAAATATTGTTTTCCAGGAAAAAGAAAGAAGATGAAGAGAAAAAAAAAATCCTTCTCCTACATAAAATGAGAAGTCTGAACATGCTCCTTACCTCTTCTCAGGGGTGAACATGCAGAAGTGCATTAACAGAAGGAAAGAGCATTAAACTATAAGATGAAGGAAGCCCAACTGTGTGCTGAAAGAGGCTAGGTCTCAGAAAATTCTGTCTTTAAAAAGTCTGGTTTTGTAGGGGAAGAAAATGTTGAGTTTGCTGTTTTTATAAGTAGTGAAAAATACAACAAAATGTTTTTTTCAGAAGTGTTAAGATTCCATGCAAGCAGGCCATCCTCGCAATGTGGCTAACAATCCCGTTGCCCCTTCTCAGAGTGTTAACTGAAAATATTATCGCCTTTCAACTTGGTAACTTTCTTTAGTCTCTAGCTCTGTAAGAAACTGCGAATTGCCATGGGCTGATGAGAGCTGCTCCTCAGCTGCTGGTCAATCCGCCCCCCAAACTCTGCTCACATCTTTCAGCACAGAAGTTGGCACACAGGGAATCAGTGCACCGAGGACAAAAGACACAGAAAAGGGTCAACACTTTGTGGTGCGCACTGGCCAGCGCCAGATCCGCTGCGTTCCTCAAGCAGGTGCTGCCGCTGAGAGCAACTGAATAAGGACACTCCGGGCGTTCGCTTTGAAACGCTGATTAAAGCGGGGAACTTTGTCACAGCATGTCAGGGCCCAGTCCTCCTGCTGGACATCCCGTGGTCAGACAACATCTGAATTCCAGCGCAACCAAGGGCGGCCCCTGTGATCTGTGTGTTGCAATACGTCTCCCCCATGAAGAGATGAGCTGTGGAAGCAAAAGGAGAGGTTCGCTTCTGAAGGCCTAGAGCAAGAGCTTGTACTTCGTAGAAGTTCTGGAGTTTATCTGGGTCCGCAGTAGGTAAAATGATCTAGTTGGGGTATTTTTGTCCAAACCCCAGATGTGGCAGCTACTTTTTGGGTTTCTCTAGGATGTTCAGGAACTTCCCTCGAGTCATTTCTCTAGCTGAAATCACAAGGAAGGAAAATAAAAATTAGTATTTTTTTAAAAAAGCCGAAAAACCCGAACAATTTTATAATTGGCAGATTTTAACCACAGGGTAAAACATTGATTTAGGTTTGTGCTTATACCATTAGCAAACAAGGACGATTTTATTTAATTTTTTTAAAGTGGAAAATAAATCAAACCGCATTCCAGTTTGAATTCCTGACATTCTGGAAATGTAGGCAGGGCCTTGAATCTTCTAAACTCAGCAAAAATTCCTACAGGCTGTCTCATTACATACAATCTACGCTTTCTATTCCTACTGCGTTATGCTCTCGCAGCATCTCCTTTTCTCCACACCATCCATCTCTGAATGGTGTAATCCAGATCTCCATCACTCTCTCTCATAGCAATTGTTCCTGGATGTTATAATCCCTCAGATTATGGAATTCTCTCTTCCTCCATTTCAGGATTACTGGTCCCTGGATGCCATGATCTTCAACAGAAATTAGACAGCATTTTCTCTCTCTCTCAGCAGTGTCAGTCCCTGGATGCTGTAATATAATGGGGTTTATATTCCTTCAATGCAGTTCATCTATGGATGGTGTAATAAAGTAGAGTTTATAGAGCTTTGGTCTCCTCTCTCTCTCTGCATTGTCAGTCCCTCGACGTTTAATACAACAAGGCAAGGTTTATATGTCTCCCTCTCGCTCTTGGCACCATCAATCTCTGGTAGCTGTATTACAGAGGGGTTTACACAGCCACTTTTCTGCACAAGACATTTCTGACTTGCGAGCTCATAAGCTCACAAGCCGGCAGAGCAGTCCTAATGCTATCTTTGTCTTGCAATAACAATACAATGCATCAAAGGCATCACAAATTAGCAACTGAGTCCTGCAGAAAGACAATCTTCCCACCGGTGCTTCCCTACATTTTTTCTAAATAAAGGTACAAGCTTTGTGCTGGACTGACAGGTTTCGAAACATGGAGGCTCTTATTCATAGGACTGATGGAAGTGAGCGTGTTTCCCACACCTAGCCTAGAGAGACTCTGGAAGGAGATGGGAATTCATTTACCAGTTCATTCATTCACTTCCTGACCTCTCTACTGAAAGAAACAACAGAAATGACAACTAGCATAAAAACTGGAGGTGGGTTTGTTGCCGATGCTGGGTATCCTTTTGACACCACCAATTATCTGTTAGAACAGGACTAAAATGCAGTGAAAATATTCAGCTTAAAATACTCAATACATACCCTCAGGTAAACACTTTTTGTTATTTTTTTACCTAAAGGTTAAAATTTGTGCCCTAAAGTTTCTTCTTTAAATTATTACATTCTAATTTGACTACCCAAAATTGTACCATGAGGTATCACCATCAACAAGATCCCTGTAAAACAATTAGTAGTATTACGAACTGACTGGTACATATGGATATTCATAGGCTGCAAAGTCCACTGCCGTGAGTGGAACACGCTTTGGGCTGGTTGCAGATTCAAGCAGATCACTGCAGCATTCACTGGGTTCACACCTCCAGCTCAGAGCTGCATCATGTGGGACCCATTCCCAACTCTGCTTTGGATTCCCAGTGTGAACTACCACAGCACTACTCACTCGTACCTCTACTCCCCATCTGCAAGATAGCTCGTACCTTTTAAGTGCTGCTGAAGCAACATGTGGGTAGAAGCTGTTAGGGAAGGGCAGAGTGAGCTGTTATTTTGTCAGGAACTAAGTTGTCATGCACAAAGAACACAATTAAATAAAAATGCAAGCTTTTAAAATTTGCAGTTAGGAATAGATTTGCAGCACCAGTTCTTTGACAACTCCTTGCCTTGCACTATCAACAGTGCCTGGCTCTAAACCACTCTTAACAGAGAAAGCACAAAGCCGACCTGTAGTTGATAGAGTGGAAAGTTTTCTGGAGTGCAAGTCCCATATAGGAGATATACGAACGCATGACAATTCTGTTCCCCCAAAGAGGGCTGCACCCTATAAATCAGGCAGAGAGCATAGACTCCTTCTGTGCGCTGAGTGAAATTACTGTGGGTTGGGGGTTGCTCCAGAGCACGTGCCCTCCTGTTCGCTTGTCATAGGAGATGTTAACGTTTCTGATTAATTCACAGACCTCTCATTTTATTCTTCATTCCTTTATCCTTGCTATCCTGTTCTGCTGCAGCTTAAAGATTCTTACCGACCTGCTACAATAATCACCGCCCGCTTCCCCCCCCAACCTGGTGAAATTGTTTAGTGATGCCAACCGCGCTTTTAATTTGCAAGACATCAGACACAGAGGTAATTTATACCAACATCTGTTCATTTCTGACTTCTGAAACAAACTCGCACATGCTGCTACAAAATCCCATTAGGAGCAGGAGACAGCCTTCTGCTATTCTGTATTCCTCTTCTCCTCACACACTCAGGCTTGCATCAGGGCTTTATTTTTAAAGATATGATGCCAAACTGGAAAAAAAAAAAAGACCTTACGTCTTTGTATATGTATGAAAAGGGCCAGGAAATAACACTTTCAGATCACACATACACACAAAAAAAATCACAGCCAAACTAAATGCAAGTTTCCACAAACATCAACAATCTTGTTTTCCCTGCTTCAGCTGCTTACCTCCCTAAGAACCACAGTTCAATGTATTCCCGGTAAACACAGGCCAAATATATATTACACTGTGCTGCGTTCAAACGTCTTGGCTATTCTTTCCCCTTTGTTCCTGTTTAATATGCACTGGAGTATGATCTGAGCTTGGGTTTTGCACAGAAAAGCCGCTAATATTAAACTGATGACTCTGCTCAGTATTGCTTCTGATAAATGAATTCTTAATAATGGGAATATCATTTCCAAGGGGCCTTTTGGAGCCTGCTGGAGTGAGTGAAGAGCTTGCGAATGAAGAAACCATCACCCACATTCTAAATATGATTGCAGTCTAAGAGAGACAGTAAAACCTTCCTTAAGCAACTACCCAAGGGACCAGCAGAAGCCTCTTGCGTAGTAGATAGATGTGGATTTTTTAATTAAAAGGTTGGACAAAACTGTAGTCAAAACCTTAGGGATTTTTTCTTTAAAATGGTTGCTTAAAGAGAGAGCTTCAAGAGAGAGCTTGAGCGCAGGTTTCGTTGTACCAGCAGACAGGCACTACAGAGGCTGTGCAGCATGAAACAGCAACACCAGTCTCCGTGTCAAGTCACGACTTGAAACCTTGCCCACACTGTGCATCTGCTGCAACAGAAAAAGCAACAATGGATATGATCGCAATAGTTTGGAAACAAATCAATCTCACCTACCAGGGAGGAGGAAGAGGATAGAAAAAACACTTTTAAGATGCTGACACTGGTTACAATGGAACTTGAGACTCTTTCAAATAAATATATCGAAAAATGGTATCAGGCTATTACAATTAACAGATAATGCGGTACTGTATGAATTAAGTTTGCTGCCTGGCAAGATCTCCCAGGCAGACCTCAAAAACAGGTATTGGGTAGGAAACGCTGGGGCTGAAAGGAGAAGGAGACATTTCTACTTGATAGGGGAGCAGAATAAGGTTTAATATAATCTCCTCTTTAGAACTTCAATCCCTCAATCCCGCATTTAGCCTTGTTGCCTGGGGCTCCTTTTCTACTACAATTGTCCCCAAGTTGCCTCTCCGCTGTAAATTTTGTGGTTGCTGGTTGAAAAGATTCAGTAGTACAGATTGATTTCCTACAAGTGAGGAGATAAGGGATTACCAAAAGCAGTCCTGGTTAACAAGATTGGGTGCAGAATCTCCTGCTAGAGCAGCCCACTCTGCCAGTGCTTTGCATCCTTTCACTATGACATATGGGTTTCATTACACAAAGATTTTCCTGATTTTAACTTGGAGGCGATTACATTGGAAACTCAGAGCTATCTTTACATCTGTAGCAATTTAAAGGTTAAGTAACTTTTAATCAAATGACAAAGACTCATAATGTTTTTTTCCTCGACTGAAAATGAAAACTGCTGTTCCAGATATTCCTTCCGGTGACAATTTAATTAGAAAAAACCACTGCAGTGGAGATTGGGATCCAGCCTGATTGCTCCCCATAAAAAGCCTTCTCACACATATGACAGCACAGGACATACTGTGTCACAGGGTCTGGAGAGCCAGGAAATAATGGAAGGATTTACTGCTATAAAATCAGTGATTTACACTTATATAAGCAACTTTCATCCATGAGAATCCCCAAGCAACACACATATGTACATACTTTTTCAACACAATATACACTTAAATGCAGATGCACTACACACTTGGTCATAAAGTCTATGTAAAAGATATATGCAATAAACTCTTTTTATTATGATCATTATACTTCCCGCTACTTACTACTACTGGACTTATTTAAAAATCTGAAAACAAAACCAGTGAGCATCTTTGAATCACAAGTATTTTAAAATGAAGTCACCCACTAAAGAAGCACTTCTCTGCCTCTTCCCCCGCTGTACAGCTTATGGGACAAATTTGACTGTGCTCCTCCTCTGACCTGAAAACATAACCGTGTTAAAATCTAAAGGTCTTGCTACTGAAAACAAAATCTGGAAATACAATCAATGCCTGGTGAACACAACATGTTTTTAGCTCTGAAATGTCTTATAGTATCACACTTTTAATGCTACATTCTTGACTACAAAAAGGTTATTTTAGGCACTGTCATACTTTGTTAGCTTATCAGTTATTCCTCCCATTCAGTTGTATTTATGGTAACTAAAGAACTCGGTTTTCAACATGGAAGGATTCCATTAAAGTACTAATCAGGAACTCTCGAGCTACTGCTGTGTCTTAGGACTACACAGAAAACCAAATTAAAAGGGTTTATTTCTGAAGAACTATCAGTGGAAATTATCAGTTTAGAGCAAAGAACATGAACTGCGGAGAGACAGCCAAACACTCCTCTGGTTTTTAACCCTTCTATCACAAGGGTCTGTTGCATTAGAAATTGCTTATTTTGTCCCAAGACACAATGTTAGGGTAAGAAGACACAATCATTCTTTT